GTTAAGCTAATACCCGGGACACTCAGGGTTAGTATAACTATGACGGATAACCTGGTCCTACTCGGCATTTCGTACTCTGCACTTACCCATTCCACGGCACTACACGATGCAGACCCGATTCGTACCACAGAGGTGGGTACGCTATATAGTAGGTCAGCAAGCAAATACGGGCACTCGAGGGTGTAATTATTTTGTCAGCACCGGCCTGAGATGACCCAGCGCATATCCTCCATCGTCGATTCACTTGGCCCACGCTTCAAGTAGGAATTTACTGATCACTTTTCCCATCGATCTTCCCCGAACCACTACAACGGCTATGAGAGTCATACCATATGTATATACATTTTGTAACTTATTCTTTGAAAAATTTCATTTTTTTTCCTACGTATATGTTTGTTTCAACGAATAGAACCCTTTGTTGTACCAAGTGGAGAGTAACTTTATTTACACATCTACTGAGAGTTTTATATGCATGTACCTCCACGACTTTACGTATCCATACGTAAGTTTTAAATACATGTCACTAATTGAAAATGAACCTATTTGACACCTTATAACACCTGTCATTCTATAGTTCTCCTCTGTGTACCGAACTGTAGCTGTATCTGAGAAGACTGATGACAGTGTTGTTTTGACCAAGCACTCCCCTAAATCCGGTAGTGTATCAGGTATCTTTGAGAATACAATCTACAGTGAGCTTATGTAGTATTCTGTTTTTTTTTTTAGATTGTTTCCTATTGATTCTGGTGGGACAAGGATATCGGGGTCGGCAGTGAACGTGGAGCTTGTGTGGCGGGAATGTGTCGGCTGAGGTGTGTTTTTTGGTTAATATGTCAGCTATGTTATCATGTGTATTAATATACTGTGGACAGATGACACCTTGTGTGTGAAGATCCCGTATGTTGTGAATACGAAGATCTACATATTTGAGGTGCTTGTTTGTGCCTGCATTGTTGATGACATGAATTGTCGATTGATTGTCACAACGTGGGGGTGTGGGCTTGGTCTGTGTAGACCTCATCTCGCTTAAGATATTGCGGAGCCATTGAATACTTTGGGATGCTTCTGACGCCGCGTAGTATTCTGCTTCAGCTGTACTGGTCGTGATGGTCCTGTTCTTCTGACGTTTCGACTTCCAGATATCAGGGACGCCATTGATGCGAAGGACATAACCGCTGGTGGATCCTCGTGTGTCAGGGCAAGCATTATAGTTAGCATCGACGTAGGCGTCAAGAAAGGGGGCTTTTACAGGTTAAACTAAGATTGTGTGTACCTTTAATGTATCGAAGTATACGAACTGCCGCGGTACAGTGGCCAAGGGTTGGATTTGCCATACAGTATTGGGCCACAGAGTGTTGAGCTGGTACGATATATCAGACCGAGTGAGGACAGAAAGATACTGAAGGGTCCCAATTATTTATCTGTATGAGCAGGAGTGGCGTGAACCGTCGTTAATGTATATTATGGATAGTGTGGTTGCGTAGGTCATAGGTGCCGAACTTATGGAGGCACGTCAATTCGCGCTCGATAGCTTCTCGCCAAAGATCAGCATTGTCACCACGAAGAACCTCTCTGATGGTTGTAGGTGTAAGTGGGTGTTCCTGAATGGCTGCGCAGACCGTGTACAGTGCATCAACAGTCTCATTGTACATGGCTTGGTTGCAAGTATGTGTTGTATTGGACGATGATAGCGTACGGGGTCGTACTAATACGGACGAGAATGTCATCAGGTGGGTTGGCATCAGAAGTAAGGTGTGGTGGTCGTTGACTGAGTGATGTATACTTTTAACATATCGTTATATTACCCAGTCTATGTATATAATTTTTATTAGAACATTTCCATAAGATATTGTATCATACACTCCTTAGCAACCGTCACGCGCGCATGCAGAAGAGACGCAGCCCCGGCTTGACACACCATCGACTCAGGCTGTCGACTCTCACGTGTTTGAATCCGCTTCCGATATACTGGAACCATATTCGGATCGTCGAAAGTATGTGCTGTCACCAATGTTTGAGAGCCTCTCAACCAGCGTACCAAGTAGTGGTTTTGTAGTTTTGGTCGTCGCCCCCTGTGCGAGTATCGTCACTATGCCACCCGTCTTAAATTCGATCAAATCAAACTTACACAGGTCAGTAGCCTCCGCCATAGCAGCAGTATACTGTATCGTTTCTGATGAAGTTTCAGCTAATCTATTAAATTCATCCAACCGCTTTAACCATACATCATTCGTCATATGAACATGACCAGGTAAGTCATTAGGTTATGTTAGCGAACGGTATAACATGGCGGGAATCAAAATAAACACTGATTGGTGCCGACTTGTGAAGACATGATATCCAAAGGTTCTGGTAAAGCATAGTAAACGGTAGACGATCATCTCACAGTTCCGGGCAGCCAACACATAGTGCGCGCGCACATTTGTGAATTTCTTTGTGCCGTCGCTACGCCGCACCCAAGGTCTGAGGACGTCTTGTGTATAATTCCGAGTGCCCCGTGTAATAGCCTTCACGATATTATTCACAAATTCAGTACCCTCATCACTCTGAATCTTAGAGGAAACCCATGCTCACCAAACACCGATACTAATTATGTCGTCACCGTTTTTGCATCCTTCGCAGGTATCGTCCAAAGTATAGAGTACCCCGACGCTACATCCAATATATGTAAAATAAACTTGTTGCCCTTAGTAGATGTGACCACCATGGTAATGAGATTCATTTGTATGTAATACCAAATAATTGTACTGTGATGTACTACTCATTAAAGAGTGGAAGCCCTTCTTCATGGTGTCATTGCCTAAGCATGTACGACATGCTTTACGGACCTTTTCCGTAATCGGAACCATCTAGTCCCAATTATGTCCGTCATCCTTCACCTGTTGTACAGTAACCGCCGGTGAAGGGTGCTCTTGTTTATGAAATTGCCACGCCAACTGCACCCAATTACCGTAGCCCGCGCACATACCTCAGGGACTTGTTCAGAGATCTGTCGCATCACCGGTTGTGCCCAATTCTCTGGATAACGCGTACTAGCCTCCTCACATACAGGTATCTCTAACCTCAAATTGCACCAAAACGATGAATTGACCTTGTAGCCCGAGTGAGGCCCAATCCGGACAACAATAGTATGCTCCCACGGGTACTTACCACAGGCCTGTGTGCCATATTTGTGCCGTGCGTGGAATCAGTAGCGGGTCCGTCTGCATCATCGATAAGCGCAATGGAAACGACAGCGCACGTGTGTTCAACGGCGAAAACATTATGGCAGACGTATTGTCTGTCAACACCTTGCGTAGTACCTTATATATAAGGCGCCTTGGTGGATTCATCCATGCATAGTATTTACTCCAATCAAATTCAATTTCTCGTCCGCGACGCCGAACGTGAGGAACGCATGCAAGCTATGATTAGCCTCCGTGATCAAGAACAGGCAGAGAAAGACAAAGCCCACGCATCCGAGATCCAAGGTTTGAAGATTAGCCTTCTATCCATGAACGAACAGTTCAACGTCAAGAAGGTCAAGACCTTAGAAAATACTGAGGCTATCCTTCGTGTCCTCACGACACCTCTTCCCAAGCTCATCAAGGAGAAACTGAAACAAGATAAATTTGTAAAACTGTCCGCAATCAAAAGTGCAACGCGCCCCACACGAGAGAACACCACCGAACTTAAAATAGTAGACGTGATCGCAAAAGTAAAAATCAGTCAAGGAATCTTTTACGTCTTTTGCCGACTTCCTCGACACATGGATAACACTTTTGGCATCCATGCTTTACTTCAACGAAGAGCTGAAATCCGACATGCCAGCCGTACTCGATCTACTCAGTTACACCAAATTGCTCACCGGGTACCTCATGAACTACACCCTAACTGCCGTCGAGACTCTTGACTACCTTCACCGCGAGGGACTTGAGAAGTACGAGAAAGACACTCGCTTGGCGACTATCGACACCAACAAACTCTGTACTTTCTTGACAACACTGAACAACAGACGAACGAACACGTTCGGTAGCAAGTGTCGAGTTTGTAAGATTTTCTGCACCTGCGAAGTCAACGAGACGACCACCAGAGCACCCAAAGCCACTACCCTACGTCTAGCAACAGGAACCAACGATGCACTACATTCAATCGTCACGGATAAAATTCTTGTAAAGAAGACAAGTGCAAATTCAAGCACGAATACAACAAGCCGAAATGCAAGTCACGCGCTACGTATGGAGGCTGTGAACATGATCCCAGCAAGCACGAATGGGATTCAAATATTATCCCTATATTCTTTTCTCCGTAAGGCGGTACGTCCAGACACCGTTCCAAACTTACAGAAGCTAACGAACGCATTTCAGGGATACAATAAAGAATTAAAAAGAATACTCTACTACACATGATCAAGTTTGATGCTGACATTGGTTACAAAGGCAGTCGTGCGAGTAAAACAATATACCGCAATCATCCACCAGCATTCGATAATGTACCGGGACTCTCTAGAACCATCACACAGGACGCTCTCAAAGGGACAATCATAGACCCTTGTAAGGTACATTGTGTACTACTTATAACTTTATATTTACTTTATTATGCATGTTATAAATGTTTTAGTCGCAAAGTAAAGGCTATAAATCTTCACTGTTGTAGGTGCAGTGGGCCCCAACCACCTACTGCAGTCCGCGGCATCCAGATACACCCGCGGTCCTTTTTCGTTCTCTATTCTATAAGGCCTAGTGCAGGGAATAGCTCGTTGTTATCGTCTTCTATACTATTATCAAGGTCCTGCTCATCAGAGTAGTCTCCATCCACATCATCCCGATGAGGCATACACTCCTCCATTGAACTTTCATGATGGAACAATGCAAAACTTGTTCTTGTTCGTCCTGACATCACTTTAGAACACAGTCTCACTCGTCTGCTAGTATAAAACTATCGTGAAATACAGACTATTGCGATTGCATCGATTGCATCCCATTGAAGCAATCCATCAAATTGGGTTGTGTGCAGGATATGTAATTACCGTACGAGTTTGATAGTTGTGTATTAGTATTTCGTGCTCTTTGGGCTTTGTGTATTTAGAACATTATTGGAAGTAATAAAATTTGTATCTCGATATCATGTGAATGTCCATGTTCATGCAACAAAAGTTAATGCCTATGTTGGTTATATCTTACCGTATCCGTTGGAGAGTTCCCTACTTCTAATGTATTGCCTGTCATGTTAACTAACTATATAAGAGCCGTTTATATGTAGACAGTATTTATACACATATGTCACATGTAACTAGCAGTATGACTATTTGTGTTTGTTTGAGTTGCTGTGTTTGAATGATTGCTGTGAAGCGAATTGTGGTCGGATTGCCATGTTTCGCATGTCGTTTTCATCTAGAACTTTTCGGTCTTTACATTGCAACAAAAAGTGTAGGCTTAAGGGATCTTTGTAAGGGTGTAAATTAGGGCCAAAGTCAACTGCCTCCAAAATCCTACGATTCGTAGGATTTCAACAACAACAAAAATAGGGCCAAATTTACGATTCGTAGGGTTTCTGGGCACTAGTGATATGTAAAAATCTAAAAAAAATGTTTGGTTTCAGACGGCTAGTAAGACCAGAATGACTTAAATAAAGCAGTCTAGTTCAGATTTATTACCCTGATGTTATTGGTCCACTCTGCGTAGCAAGAGGGGGCATTGACTATCAGGGCACTTAGTTATATACAAGGCCCACATTATCAGCCCGGGCTAGGATCGAGGGACCAGGGACTCTGACAGCGGTTAATTTTTGATGACAGATATGGCTCCAGAGTTCGGTACTATACTGGCAGGGTCTTACAGGCTATGAAATATTGTATTTTTAAAATACAAGATTTTTTTTTTGATAAACCAAAGATATTCGCTAAGAACCCTGAACTTTTTTGAACTTTTGAAGGCGGCCTGGAGCTTCAAAAATCAAAAGTGCCAATGTTAAAGAAGTCATTTTGTCAAAAAAAAAAAGATAAGGCTAAACCATGTAAAGCGCACACCGAAGATCGGTATGTTATACACATATTTTGAGCTACTTCGAGCTAAAAGAGCACTGGTGACAGAATAAGTCGTAATTGATGGACAAAACTGAGTTCATAAGTAGGTCATATTACACAACTTTGGCAGCACCTTAATATATACTTTTGGAAATGTGTACTTTAAAGTTTGAACTGACACAGCTGTGACGATAACATCAAGATTGAACAGGACAACCTCAAAGTAACATGTAAAAGATATATAGGGTAAGATTGATAGTGTTGTGATAGTGATGGTGAACATAGCACAATCATTAACCCAAAGTCGTGAAAGAACAACGACAAACAGAATGAAGAAGGCACATATATTGGGCTATAAATATAGTATGTCCTAATTAAGAACCTGGGAAAATTGAATAAGACATGAATACGCATGAATGATAATTGATGATGTTTGATTTGAGATTAGTTTGACTATATGAATAAAATTCATAGGAGTTGCTGAGAAACTACAGGAAAGGTTTCTTGCAGGAGATCGAGGACTGACATGGTATAAACAGTGTCTACGTAGACATCAACGAATTCATACAGAGAGAGTCAACGACTTGAATAGTAAACTGTGTCATAAACGAGGTTTTTATCATTGTAAAGCGGTTGTTTCTCGAAACCTTCAGTACACTAACTTATTCCGTATTAGGGTTTGATGTTTAGTATTGGCTATACCAAGCCAGACATTTTCTGATCTTCGTCATCATATTTTCGTCGATCCCCCATTGTCATTTTCACCCAAATTCACGCGTGTGCACAGCCTCATTCATACACCTTGTTTATACGCAGGCATCTCGTGTGTGTTAGTGCCTGCACAAAAATTACGGGTGTTGAAGGTCTAATTCCACTGTTAGGTGGTTTAGAGAATGGTATATTCAGGTATATTCACGTGTGGTGAGTTTACAGACATATAAGATTCAGTCATAGCTATAGACATGTCAATGTTGATTCACAAGGTTTTGAATGTGCATGCAACAGAAATTATGTGTTTTAAAGACAAACGTGATTGCTACGAAAGATTTAAAATAAATATATGACGCATGATTAATGTAGTAAAGAATTGGGGGAAAGGGTAACATAGTATTACCAGTATTCGATGGCAAGAGAGTGGATGGTAAGCGAGCTAATGCATCGCGATCTATAAAAAAAGCGCATGCATGTACAAGCTGAAGTGGCAAGAATGCTAGTTGTAGAGGGGGTCGACGGAGAAGGTGAGAGTATATATAAAGAGTGTAAGTCGGCAGTTGGCGCTTACAATTTAGATGCAGCGAGAATGGTAATGTGTATGCTTGCGGAGAATGACATAGACTTTATACTCGCCCCGCAGGAAGCAGAACCAGATCACTTATCTGCAGCGAGTTGGTATCTGTGACTATTGCATATGTAATGATAGTGACTATATAGTTCTGTATTGTGATAACATTATCTTTGATAATTACTTCTATAGAGGACTAGGTAGACTATTTAAACGTGCTAAGTTGGTGTAAGACTTGATTCATTTCGAGAGAAGCCTAGTGAAAGTGAAGAGTGGCAGTCGAATATGCATGAGTTTTTATATTACGTGAGTATACATGGACTTGTTGACATGTTATATCCATGTGTCTGTCTGTTTAGACCAGACTATAGGCAGCGTACTGGTGTTGGACCTGCGGACCAATTGAAACACGTAAGCGAAGGGCGTGTCACTGTTGATTTAATTTTACAGTACCAGTATGTATGCATCTGATCCTAATAAGTTGTTCTATACAAGACAAGCAGTACAAAACACAGTCCAGTATATGATCCAGTGCATCAATGCTTTGTTTCAGCATACGACTCTCAACGACAATATATCGAACAGAAAATATATGAGGTATAAATCAATGTTTACGGTCCAAGTGTCTATACTCCGTGGCTACACCCTGTAGCTACAGCTATATAAAGTAGAGAGTGCTGTATTATGTAGGGGGCTGGCGGACAGGAAGTGAATTCACGAAGTGCGATCAATGAATTATGGACTAGTTACTGGCGTAAATGTAGGATAACCAACTTTACACGTAGTATGCCTCCCATTGATCTCACTAGTATAAACCGTGTGCAATTACGTGCGTATTCTACAAGCCATGGTCTGTCTATACCTCAGCACGTAACCACTGTAGAGTCGACGACTCCCTATTGTCTAAACATAAATCTATGCAAGAGATTTACGTTAGAGATATGTCTACGCTAGAATTAGTCAATTATACACAGGAAAATGTTTTTAAGATCGATGTAAGCAAAGATATAGTGAGAGACTATTTTGATAGAAAAGATGGATATTTCTCTACGCCGACAAAACAAACAGCAAAAACGGCGTACACTGGAGCTAAACATGGGATTCTCAGAGTCAGACAATAATGATCTTGCAATGTATGTACAAGCTAAGGTAGGGCGATCGATGCATAACACGCCGAAAGAAGTGTTTTTGCGTTTAATATGTACACCTGTTCATAAAGGTAATCAAATGCATTATAGATGTAATAAAGTGGATGTTATAGCTCTTTGCTTATTCCCAACTCCGATACCTTATAGACCGTGCCATTATATGAAGGTATGCGTTCACATTCGTACAGCTTTAGAAAGGACGATAGAACTTAGTATCAGTGAAGGCACAGATGATGAAAATACCTGGAGAGACAGAGGTGTTATCGCGAGCATTGTGTCAAGCATCCCTGCTATTACGATACACCTTTTATTACTGCTATGATTAGGTCTATGTACAACCCGTGGATAGGAGCACCAGTAGAACGTATTGATGGCAGTGTATCCACCACTGAGCGAGAGGAAATAGCAAGGGGTAGGCATTTAGCGTTGTATCGTACTGAACGTATGAAAAGTGTACGTTATCCAAATCGTGGTCTTAAGTACGATGTAATAGCTATAACAAAACCTAATACCTTAAGCGAGATAATCTCAACTCTTTTTGGCACGTTTCTTTTTGGCTGAGATATCCTATCAGTCATAGGCATAAACTAGTCACGTATAGGGGGGTTTAAGTTCACTAAACCACGAATACACCCACTGTCGGTTAAGTGTAAATCAATCTCAGATAGAGTAAGCCGGCCTCTGTCCCAGACCCGGTAGTCTTGTAATTTTTCATTGTTTCGCTCGATGTGAATACGGTATACGGCTATCTGTTTATCCCTCCTCTTTGTTTCGTTATCAAATGCAATTTGTCCCCGGGCTTTCTTCCGGGAACAAATCAAATGTATTCGACTCGTTTTCAGTTCATTCATCTGCCTGTCAGTGCAGCATGTGCAAGACGAACGATAGCCAAATATTTGTTTGCCATGGTCGACAATGTCGTTATCTGTTGCTGATCCCGGGCATGGTGGTGTC